GAAGTGACATTCTGAAATTTAAAAAAAAAAATTGTTACACCCTTTACGTTCGTTTTTTCTGCAGCTCTCTGAAAAATCCTCAAATCAAAACTGCCTTGGTTCATTTAAGCTTTTAATGCATTAACATTTTGGCAATCTTTAACCTTTGTGCCAACAAAAAATGGTCTGCCAAAAAGACGGTTTTTCTCTTGACACCACTATTATTTTAACTACCTTAACTCCTCAGCAATATTTATTACTTTAAAAAACAATGATTAAAATTATAATAAACCCCAAACATATGAGAGGGAATTTATACATTTTCTTTGTTCTTGAGAATTGACAACAAAAATAATAACCACTATTAGATTGTTTACACTATTGTTTATTGGAATGATTGACAGAACATTAGCTAATTGCCAACTGATTTGAACTTTATAAAATGGTAATTAATAAGTACTTCTGAATAGTTGGTTTATCAATTTAATATGGTAAATGTTTATAAATTTATGAATAAAATTCTGAATAAAAATTTCTTCATAAATTGGTAAATGATAAATATAGCATTGCATTAAAAAATACAACTATATTAGTTTTCAGATTGTTGTAAATATAAATTATTCTTGTAAATAAACAATCTAATAAATCAATAGTGTTTAATATTTATGTTGTAAATTCCCAAGAACAAAGAATATGTATAAATTCATTTTCATAGGTTTAGTTCTTATTACAATTCTCATTATTCCTTTTTAGAACAATAAACATTGCCAAGGAACGAAGGTCATTGAAATAATAGCAGTGTCAAGGGAAAAATTGTCCTTTTGACACAGCATTATTTTTTTTATTGATTGATTCATTTTTTATAGTTTATCACTCCTTTGTAGGTTATTTAAAACCAGAAAATTTGAAGTTATTTGCACATAATGAATATAACAAAGAAACCCAACTGAAACTGGAACTCAGCTCTCTGATTAATAATTCCAAGCCCTTATCTATTACACCACCTGCACATCCAGCACCTGGTATTCCCAAGTGGTCACCCATCCAGATACTGACCCGACCTGACGTTGCTTAACTCCGATATTTCAACGTGATATGGCCGTAAGTCATACCACCAGCACATCCAAACTTACAGCACTTGGTATTCCCAAGCAGTCACCCATCTAGGTACTGACCAGGCTCAATGTTGCTCAACTTCAGTGATCATATGAGAACCAGTGTTTCAACATCAGCCTGATTTTTTTTTGGTGCCACACAGGTCAAAGATTGCTAATATTTTTTTTTTTATCTAATAAACCTCTGCAAAGCTAGTCAACTTTTCAGATCCCACGTGTCAATTTTTAATTTGTGTCATACAAAACTTTTTTTCTGTCATTCTTGTGAAATATTTTTATCAACATATTTAGCATTTTTATATTAAATTTCTTCATTTAATCTAAAAATAAAATGAACATTATTTTCCTTACTCGGATATTTTGAGTGTTTTGATTCTTTAAATTTTGATGAGTCAATCAGAACCAGTATCTTAGTTTTTCATCAATTTCGTAATGAACAATGTATTGTTTTACATTTCTACAAAGAGGTTCTTGACTCAACTCATTAACCAAAAATCTGAGCAAATGACCAAACATCAAAGTTTCTGTGGAATGCTTTCTTGGTTGGGTGAAGAAATATTCAGCACTGTATGTCATTCTGATACAGCAATTGTAATTCTGAGTAAAATTCTTTATTTTTGAAAAATGTTTACATTGCAATGATTTCCAGAAATTGTCAAGAATGTTAATACCAGAATGAATGCAACACAAAAGCCTGGAATTTGAATTTCTTTCTTTCATTCTTGAATGGTAATCTCATTTATAGCCTCTTCATAATCACAGGTGGCAACTCCATTTACCTTAACAAGTTCTACTAATTAACCCATAGCTGGGGAGAGAAGAGGTGGATTTATACCTTTCCCAAAGGTATTTGCACATTAGTGAATATAATGAACCTGGCTGGAATTGGAATTCCAAGCTGCTATCTCTTACACATCCCCGCCCTGCACATCCAAACTTCAGCACTTGTTATTCCCAAATGGTTACTTAGCTAAGTATGGACCAGGGTTGACATTGCTGAAATTGAATTTATCAACATGTTTTATTTGCATATATATATTTACACTGCTGACATTGTTCGAACTGTTGTCCTCATTTTTATTCCCATATTCACCTTCAACATCTGTCTCTATTTCTGTGATGAGGTATTGTAACTATTTACACTATTGACATTGTTCGAACTGTTGTCCTCATCTTCATTGTCATATTTACAACGTTTCGACCATTGTACACTCCAGCCTTCTTCAGGGTTTGTCTATATTTCTGAGATGAGATACTGTAACTATTTACACTACTGACATTGTTCGAACTGTTGTCCTCATTTTTATTCCCATATTCACCTTCAACATCTGTCTCTATTTCTGTGATGAGGTATTGTAACTATTTACACTATTGACATTGTTCGAACTGTTGTCCTCATCTTCATTGTCATATTTACAACGTTTCGACCATTGTACACTCCACATTGTTTGAGATGAGATTGTAACTATTTACACTACTTGACATTGTCGAATTTTGTCCAATCTTAAATTGAACCATATTCACCTTAAATCTGTCTCAATTTCTGTGATGAAATTGTAACTATTTACACTATTGACATTGTCTTGTTTCCCCCATCTTCATTGTCATCACCATTTTATTGTATTCACTTTGTTCGAACTGTTGTATCATCTTTTTTATATTTATTTCCTTTTGGACTGTGATGGGGAAATGAATATTTGGTTTGATAAAAAAAAAAAAAAAAAAAAAAAAAAAACGACAAACTGTACAAAATTTTCAAACAATATTTCTGTGATGAGGTATTGTAACTATTTACACTATTGACACAACTGTTGACTTAAATAAACCATTGTACACCCAGCCTTCTTCAGGGTTTGTCTGAGATGAGATCTTGACATTGTCAACTGTAAACTATTTTTATTCCCATATTCACCAATCTGTTTACTGTGATGATGTAATACACTATTGACATTGTTCGAACTGTTTATCTATTGTCATACAACCATTGTACACCCAGCCTTCTTCAGGGATCTATTTCTGATTGAGGTGGATAAACACTACTGACATTGTTCGAACTGTTGTTGGCCATTCCTTCAACATCTGCTCTATTTCTGTGATGAGGTATTGTAACATTTACATTGACATTGTGATGGCCCCAGGCATCAATATTGGAAGGGCATTCAATCAAATGAGTGAAATAAAAAAATTACTGTTTAATTTTTTTGAATAAATCTGTTTATGTTTCTTCTGTTTTTACATATTTAAATATCTTCATTTCAATAAAGTCTGAACAATTTCTCAGTAGCTTTTTTTTGTCTTAGATTCTAAACCATTGTTTATTGTACTTGAGTGTGATGGGGAAATGAATATTTGGTTGGATAAAAAAAAAAAAAAAAAAAAGCTACAAAATTTTTTAGTAGGCAAAGACAAAATAAAGTGCAAGTCTACTGTCTTAGTGTCAACTGTAAACCAAAATTTACTGGGATGTAATCCTTTATTAACCATGCAAGATCTACATTAATGGAAATCAACATTTGTTAGTAGTTAAGGATGAAATATTGGAAGGGCATTCAATCAAAACTGAAAATAAAAAAAATTAGTTTAAATTTGAATAAAAGTTTCTTCTGTTTTCATATTTAAAAATTTCTCAGTAGTAATTTCTTGAGTCAGAAATTATAGGCCCAAAATCACTGCTTGCTCTTATGGTTCCAAGTTTCCTTTTTATACAATGTATTAATGAAACACTTTGTTGTTAAGGATGAAAGTTACTGTTAAACTGATGATAAGAGAATAGAAAGGTCAAAATACTGAGAATTTCTGTCAGAAATTATAGGAATACTGTACAGTTTTCAGAAATTATAGCAATACTGTACAGTTTTCAAATGTTGAGTAAGGATGTGAACATTCAATAATTTTAAAAAATTAAATTAAAAATTTTGAAAATTAAAAAAATAATAAAATGATAAAAATCTGTAAGAAATAAAATTTTAAAGTATGATAATTGTCTAAAATTGGAAAAAAAACTCAATATATAAATTGCTTTAATAAATATTACAATTATAAATTACTAAGCTTTTTATTAAAAATAGAAGTTTAAAAAAATTTTAAATTTCAAAATATTTTCAAATTAAGATTTCATCTTTATTTTAAAGTTGGGACTTGAAAAATCTTTGAAAATAAAAAAAAGAAAAAGAAATCACAAATCAATTTAAATAAGATTTATCTGACAGAAGAAGAAAAATAAAAACTTTTAGTTTTTTTTTTTTTTAAATAAAAGAGTTTTTAAAATACACACTAGAATTACTAAAAGCAGATTGGTGATATTTTTTTTAAATAGCAGAGAAGGAAGGATTCACAACTAAAAAAAATAAAGAATGAATTATATAAATTGATTCTGAAGTATGTCTTCAAGGTTAAAAGAAGTACAAATTTAAGGATAAGTTTTGAGTTAGAGAGAGAGAGGTTAGCACAGCAAGGCCAGAAATCACACAAATATCAAAATTAATAAAAGCTTAGAGATTAAGTTTAGCTGCATTAAAAAAAAGCAGAGACAAAAACTAAAAATCACTTCAGCATTCACCAAGAAGGAAAAGAAACTTAAAAAAGGGAAAAAGAAAAGGAAGGAGAAAGAAAAGGAAGAAAGAAAGAAAAGGCGGTAATCAGGAGTGTATTAAAGCAAGCAGAAGATCCTTTTTTTTTTCTACGAGGTATCATTAAAAAGTTAAATTCAGCATTTTTCAGGTGAAAAGCATGAACCGCAAATTGGAAAAATGCTCTCTAGGTGTTCGGGACAGCAAGGCTATGGTTAGGAGGAAGTTGCAGCATGGAGAAACAGTAGAATTACCTTGTCAGATCATCACTATGCTTAGTCAGGTCCTTTTCTTCCTCTCTAACGTCATCCAATATAAGCTTTTCTAAAGTGAGAACTGGTCCAGGTTCTTTTGTCTCTTCTTCATGTGACGTTTGTGGCTCATCTGCAACAAACGATTGTTTTTCAAGAACAGCCTTGTGCTCATCCTTCTCCTCGTTGCTAACAGTCAACGACTGTTTTCTTGATGTCGCTTCTTCTTCAGCAATTTCAGCGGCTGTCTTTACCTCCTCTTCTGTAATTGGCTGGGTCCTACTACGTTCTCGCTTCTTCCGGTCGATGTACCTCTTTGCGCCACTAGCTGACTTTTTGGATTTTTCCTCCATCTGACGGAAGAGGCTGGCTCTAGCAGCAACACTCAACTGAGTGTAATCTTCATCTTCGTTGTCTGCATCTGTGGTCAGGCTGCGGACGCTGTCCGAGCCTTGAGAGTCTTTCTCAATGTCCGAGCCAGAGGACACGATCCCAGAATCAGTTTTTGATTCTTTCATTGCTTGCATTTTGGATTTTAGCAACTCAAGGCTGATGGTTTCTCCTTCAGGAATGGCCATCAATTCAGCTGCAGTGACTGGCAATGTCTTGTACCGTTGACGGTTTTTACGATTGCGTTTTTCTGGCACATAGGGTTGTGGGTACTCGGACTTGTGACCAGGACACCTTCTAGATTTGTCTTGTTCTTTCAACTTCTCAAAGATGTTGATTGAAGATCTCTTCATTACCAAAGCTCGAAAACTACTCACACTTTCCAAACTGAAAAAAGAAGTACTGTATCAAGAATGTTTCCTTTGTGGAGGATGTTAGTTTGTGGGGTTAGGGGACTTGTAATATTTTTCTTTGGTAAAATCAACAATAAAAGTTGCTAGCTTGCCCACAACGAAGAGGAAATATCTAATGCTGTCACTGATACTACAACTTCTGGGCTTTACCAAACCAATATTTCAGCCTTGGTTTTTAATGTAGATATATATATATATATATATATATATATATATATGTGTGTGTGTGTACACTGGCATTTCATTGAAATGACTACCAACAAAACAAAATTACATTTATATCATATACAAAGGATTAATATATCTGAAATACAGCTGTTCATTCCATCTATTGATCTAAGTCAAAAATGAATATATATATATATATATATATATAACCAAACAAAAGTAAAAAGATAAAAGAAATTTAAATTGACCTATTTTTAAGTTTTATGCATGTGTCGAAATATACATTTGTAATTATTTTAGGAAATCTAGGACAAAGTAAAAAAAGTTTTCGCATGTTATGCTTCGTCCTTTAGGTCTTCATTGGACTAAATTGATGCATATGTCAATGCAACTACACATTGGCATGGAGGTTAGAGGAAGCTGAGAATTTTAAACTTAAATTTAATTTTGTTTTTATATATGTCTTGGGTACATAGTCTACATGATTTGATTTAGTTTTCTTTCAGTGGGTCATTTAATATCAACAAAAATTTTAAATAGATTGTATGTATACATATATATTTGAACTATTTTTCAATTACTCATATTTTTTTAGCACAATCCAACTTCTTTTAGGAAATTTACAATCTTGGATGGTTTTATTTTCATAAAAAGATTTTTTTTAAATTACTCACTTGGTTTAGTTTGTTTAAGACATATCAACCTCATTGGGTTATTTAATGCCAACAACTTTTTTTCCTCGTAATATTTTGTTTTGTCAATCTATTTCTGGTAATATTTTTTTCTTCAAAAATGTATCGCTGGTAATATTTTTTTTTTTTCAAAAATGTATTTCTGGTAATAGTTTTTTTTCTTCAAAAATTTATTTTTGGTAATAATTTTTTACAAAGTATTTATGGTATTAAAACCTATTTTTACACTTGTATAATGCTTTTTACCTCAGTTTCGAGGTTAAGTATTTGCCCATAGCTGGGACCCTAACAGGTGCTACCACCCCAGGTCAAGGTGGACCTGGGAACACCAAAAATTAAGAGGTGGTTCTACGCACATCAAAACCTCCAGATCAGAGGCTTTGCTGCTGGATGTAGTTTATTGTCTTACCCTGGACACGGATGTAGTTTATCATCATACCCAGGACAGTAGTTTTGTTTTTATATTTTTTTTTTTTTTAAAATCACTTTTGTAATTAAATATCCCACATTATGATAATAGAAGATCTGCTAAGAAAGCCAAAATCTAAGAACCCTAATGTAAATTTACTATGGATGATCTAGTGATTAAAGTACCTTCTAGACATTTTTATTTCAGTAAATTGCTTTCTCTTTTAATTAGAGAAACATTTTTTAAATCAAATTGTGATTAGTTTCACTAATGCATTGAGTGTATTGTTTTGTAAAAAAAAATCACTTTTGCATTCATTTAATCTTTTAATTTTATTTAAATTCCTTGAGGTTTCTCCTATGTATTCCTTGTGGCAATTATAACAGATAATAAAGTAAATTCTTTCTTCAAGTTTTAACTTATTATTTAGTTTTCTATTAAATCTTTTGTTTTAGAAGCAGTTGTAACAAATTTTATGTTAAACTTGGATAGATTCTGATTGGATTTGTCAAGTAAAAAGATTTTTTTCTACTTTGTCATAGATTTCCCTAAAATATTTGATATGTAAAAATTTATATATCATTTTCCCCATTTCTTATTACCATAAATGTTATATTCCGTAGATACATTAAATTATACTGTTTCTTTAAATTCAGCTTATATTGAGGAAATAAGCTTCAGCCAAATGAAGTTTAGGCCACTCAGCCATGAAAGACTTCACAGGAGAGCAAGGTTCAATTACTCCTTTTTAAGAAATACACATCTCTCATTGGGATGTTTTAAAACCCTTACACACTAACTTTATTTTTGTATCCGAAATATAAACAAAGTAATTTCTAATAAATTAAGATTTTATTCATAATTCGACACTATATAAACTTCAAACATGATTTCTTAAAATTGGCCTAAATGGTCTGTCTGTTTTGTTTTTTAATTATATTTTTTTCAGTGTGCATAAAAGTTGCTACATATCTGAATCATCTTTCGCAGCTGCATTGTTATAGCATTGTTTCCTGGCTTTGCTGGCCCGTTTCTGAGGAAAAAACAGGAAATTATCATTTATCAGAACTACTGCTGATGATTTTTCACAGGTGTCACCATTTTGTTTTCATTCTGAAACTTTGCAGTTCAGACTAATATAAATGATATCACCAACACACAATCTAATAAAAATAAGTCACAAAACCAGTTGTATGCTACTATAGGTCTATACAGATTTGGATCTAGCATTATACACTGATTACTTTATAACACAAATTTCATGGTGTCTTGAAAATATATATAGCTATATGTCAACAGCAAACAATGTAAGTTTTGCAAAGACATAAATACATTCATAGCAGCAGAAGTGCTAATAAATAATTTACCGTATAATAATGAATCTATTTTTAGATATTACTGCAACAGACTAACCTAATAAATATGTCTGTCTAAATTATATAAGAGCTGTGGAAATAATATCATAATTTGTTTGTTTTTGTAGATCATTTTGTTGGGGTACCCTCTCCCCCAACTCATCTGTGTCCTCCATCCTTCCCAAACAATCTTAGGGAAAAAAAATGGATTTCTGATGACGCAACAAACACCTAAACAAGACCATTTGGCTGAAATGTGATAAAAACAATAAAAATGAAGATATTAGTCTGACTAAATTATAGAATACAAGGTCTGTCTGAAAAGTAACGGAATTGGTGTCATAAACAATTTATTTCAATTCCAAACAACAAACTACACGGTTTCCCCTTCAAAGTAATCCCCCTGCCTCAAGTGTGTTGTCCATCCTTCTCTGTCACGCTTCTATGCACTCATGAAAGAAGTCTTCTTGCCTGCCTCTCAGCTCCATTGTTATGGCCCTCTTGATGGCCTCCACACCTTCAAAACAGGTCCTTTTGATGATCCTCTTGAGCTTGGGGAAAAGAAAAAAGTCACACGGAGCAAGATCAGGGAAATAAGGGAGGTTGTTCCAGTATGGTGAGGTCCTTCTCGGCCAGGAACTGCCAGATACTCAGGGTGTTGTGAGTAGGTGCATTTTTGTGGTGAAGCAGCAAGATTTCTCCTGCCACAATTCTCACATATACATAAAAAAATAAAAGATGAAATGGTTGCAGAAAGCTAAGATTCCAGTGATATACTCCCAAGATAGCATGTTAGATGATAACACAATCTGCTTATTCATCTTTCATCCATAGCACATCTAACACATTCAGTCCCGTTACTTTTCAGACAGACGTCATATACTTCATCCAAGGGCATGAGACAAGACCACAGTATGTTCCTGACAAAATGTAGTCATCAAAGATGAGGATATTAGTTTGATAAAATAATAAAAATATTTCATCTTAAAACTTCAGAGAATTTAAAGTTTTGAAAAATATACCTCCCCACCCACCAAAATGGCAGTTTTCCTTGTGTGGTTCTATGTTACGAAATAACTCAAAAAATGCAGAAATCTGTCAAGTAAAAAAAAAAAAGTTCAGAATTTAAGCTTAAAATTCATTGTTAGTTCTGTAACTAGGTGTGGTCATGGGGGGGGGGGTCACTGGGCACCTGATCAGTTCCCACGACATATCTGGTTTGAAAGCTGGAGAGACATTCATTTATATGTAGCAAGTAGACCTGGCAGACACCATCTCCCTTCTAGACAATCCACATTTGATGTCCTTCACCTTGAAGGCCCACCTTCATAACAGATACATGGCTATTGATTTCATAAGGGGAACCCTCCTCCCTGAACATTGACTTCAGTCTAGGAAGCCCTCATCCTAGCAGTATCATGTCATCACTGCACTGGCTGTATACAAAGCTATGGAGACCCGTTTACCTGACTGTGCTGGGCAGTTGTTGACCCCTACAAGAAGATTTTATCTGTCCTTTGACAGGTTTTCAGCAGGTTTGATAAACACTGCTGGGTGTCTAGCCATACCTCTCACTAGAAAAGCCTAGAAAAGGAACTTGTTTAAAATTAAATAAAGGAAAAAAATAGCTGATGGTAGATGGTTAAATTGTTGCAGTTTGTTTCAATAGTCAAGTAAGATCTCCAAGCTGTTTAGAAAGTTGATGTGACTTCCTAAAAAATAATTTTCTCTTAGATGAAAAATGAAGGATTTTTCAAGTCATTCATTTTCTTTTTTTTTTTATTATTATTAAAAAAAAATTTCACTGATGTTAAGGTAGAAATATCTTCAATTTTATACTTGAGGAAAAGAAATAATGAACTTAAGAATTTATTCTTTAGAATGTTTTTCATTTTCTGCTTAGAAAAGCACCGATTATATGCTAGTTTGGGCTAAAACATGTATGGCTGGATTATTCCAGAAATCTTCAAGGAAAAGCAATGACATAATAACTTAATTATTCCAAAATTAAATGGAGTGTCTTGCTATGGAGCAGTGATAAGCAAGCTAGTCTAATACACTTTTCTAAATGTCATGTGTTCAATCTCTACTAAGAATCTTAGATCACTGGCCTTGTGCCAGACTAAGTTTGGCTTAATAAATATCAAGGAGAGAGTATCTGAAGATTCAAGATAAGCAGGCTAATCCTGCAAATTTATGTCGTCAGTTCCCTGTACTTAAGGCCTTGGGTCACATTCAGCTTAATAAAGACTAAATAAAGAGTCCAGTGGGTTTTTGGGGGATTGTTTTTAAAGAATAAAAATATTGACAAATTATTTTTTAAGAAGGAATGAAAGAAAAATTTAAAATT